TATAGTGTGACCCACATCCACACAGACACAGTTTGGCTGTGTGAGTAAAGAAGGATGTACTATAACGGGTTATTATAGTGTGACCCACATCCACACAGACACAGTTTGGCTGTGTGAGTAAAGAAGGATGTACTATAACGGGTTATTATAGTGTGACTGCTGTGCCTCCAACTCGGCCCATCAAATACCAACTCGGACCATCTCGGATAACCAACCTTTAACTCAAACATTCTAATGTATGTTTATATCAACGACATAACATAAACATTTATTACCTTTACCACGAGGGAGGGAGGAAGGCCCACAAGTTAACATTTACTCACAAAATTAACAACAATAAACAAGACAGCCACCTTGGTTGATGTTGACCTGCTACACCTTGTCCGATTCTCTCTCTTATCTTTCAGTAACTACAAGTTACTGTATTAATACAGTACTATAATAAAAGTATTTTATTAATAAATATTACATAATATAAATAAATCATACTTTCATTATAATGTTTTATTATTGATTAAATTCCCGCTAATAGATATATATTAATATTAAACTAAACTTAAGTCAGTGGCTGCTGAACCGAATAGCTTGACAGCATTTACAATTTTACTAAAATGAATTTAAACAATAACATTTTGTGTTTAACTATTTTAAGTTTATTTATTAATATTCTATTAATATATAACACTACAGTATGTAGATTCAGTTAACGAACGACTCCGTGGAACCAATTGTGTCGGTTAATGGAGGGACCACTGAAGATATTTTAGCGACCCTCCCTGGTGACAACCTTAACCTAACGTGGGTCAACACTCCACTATCCACCTATATGAACCTTCATTAACGTGGAACAAGTCCATTATAAGAACAATTCACTGGACAATACTCACGGCAGTAGGTATAACCTGTAATATTTGATCACTAACTTGAACTATCATCATTATTGTTGTGGAATGTTCCTAAAAGTACAGTAATTATTTTCCTATTATACAGTACAGCATTAATTAATGCCAAGATTGATGCCATAAAACTATATCTAAGTATAACTTAACCCAAATAAAATACCCCATTTGTTTGTAAAGTTTCCTGGCTTTTCCATGCCGTCGACACCCCAATAGTCTACAGTATATTATTTATAAAACATATATGAAGGCCTTTTAATAAAATACGGGCAAAGCCTAAGTAATCTACTTTAGATATCTAATTGTTTCAAAAAGTCATTAACACAATAACTAATTTGTGAAACTAGACTTAAAATCAGGTAAAGTAGTACCCTGTACCTTTGTAGGATATTTAAACTATTTTTTTACCCCAAGTGCTGAAGACAAAGGTATTAGGTCAACCATATTTGACAAATATTTTGACACCGTGAAACTAACTTCATACAGTAAAGATGGTCAACATATTTAAGACCATCCATAAAGGCCTTTTAAAACTTACGGGCACAGCGTAATCTACATAAAATATCTAATTATTTCAAAGGTCATTAACATAATTACTTGAATTTTTAAACAGTGATCCCAGATCCTTCATAAAAACTAAAACCACAAAGATATACACTGTACTGTACCTTATGTTACAGCAGAGAGTTTCCAATGTGGTGCAGCATGAGACCCGTTAACCAAAACAAACCTTCATCTTGTGGCCCATATCTTACATCTTCACGTCACCGTCCTGGAATGAATAACATTTTAACAACTAATAAATTAAATACTCTGGGCAGTAATATTATATAATATGTATACAGTACTGTACAGTATTATATTATACAGGAACTCATTAAATCTTCAAACATTTTAATACAATATTATGGTTAAATTAAGGCATTTCCATAAACCTTTTTAAAGAAAATAAAGAAACACTTTAGAAAATCTTACCTCGACCAATGACACGAGGAACTTCATTAACCATGATCAGCGAGGCTGCAATATGGTAGTTGTCTTAACACTACAGTAACAGCGTATTGGAGCCGTCAACTGTAAACAAAATAACCCTGTCACTCTTTTTGTAGAAACTCAGATAATTTTCTGTTTCAACATGTTAAGAGACGAAACAACCTTCTAAAGGATTGCCAACACGGTTTTATGCCGGGGCACTCCTGTTTAACACAATTGCTCAAGGTATTGGGTACTTGGACCCATATTCTGGAACGGGGTGGTAATATCGACAATATTTACCTAGATTTTGCCAAGGCTTTCGACAGTGTACCCCACGAAAGGCTGAAAATCAAACTGGAAGAGTTCGGAATTCAGGCAAATGTCCTAACGTGGATAGAAGACTTTCTACATGACCGCAAGCAGTGTGTGGTGATTAATGGCACGAAATCATCATCCGTACCTGTCACAAGTGGGGTACCACAGGGCAGTGTATTGGGCCCGCTGTTGTTTGCTTGTTTCATAAATGACATGCCTGACGTTGTACACTCCTCCATACAAATGTTTGCCGATGACGCCATGTTATTTCGGGAAACAAAGAACCAAGCAGACTGTGAAGAGCTGCAGAAGGACCTCGGTAGGCTCCAGGAATGGTCGAAGAAATGGTTGCTGAGATTCAATGTCACGAATTGTAAGAGGATGCACCTGGGGCGTACCAACGGTAAGGAGGCATATCATATGTCCCAATGGGATGAAGAAACTGCACTAGTTGAGACTGAATGTGAGAAGGACCTAAGTGTCTATGTTGACAATGAGCTGAAGTTCTCGGGCCATTGCGAGAGGAAGGTAAATCAGGCAAATAAATTATTGGGTCTCATAAGAAGGTCATTCAGATATCTAGACGGTCCGTTCCCAGTAACGATCTTCAAGAGTGAAGTGCTTCCCCATCTGGTCCCCGAGATATGCTAGGGACTGTCAGTTGGTAAAAAATGTTCAAAGGAGGGCCACCAGCCTGGTGCCTGCCCTTCAGCACCTCAGCTACCCTGAGAGATTGGAGCGCCTGAGCTTGCCTAGCTCAAGATTGAAGAAACCGCAAGTCCAGAAAACTGTGAGGGCAAACTTTCGGTGTAAGAGTTGTGAACTCTTGGAACAATCTGCCAGAAAGTGTTGTGACGGCACCGAGTGTGAGCGCTTTCAAGACAAGACTTGACCACCACTGGAGCAGGTTCAGGTACATTCAGGAGCCAGTGCATGCCCAGTACTTGCCAACAGTGCGTAACAGAGACGTGACCGATCGCCCAAGCGGCTAACGAGCCGATTAGTGGTGAAAAGGATAAAAGTAAAAAGTAAAATTGATGAATAAAATGTATAAAGACAATTTTTTTTTATAAAAGCCAATACATGCAATGTAAATATTGTGGTACTGTATTGTATTTTTAACTCCCATGAGAAGACAAAACTTGACTTCACCACAAGTTAACTCTGGTCAATTGCAACAACTTACTTAATACAACTTACTAGTCACTAATGGATAACACCTGGTAAATTCACAAGTTATATCCCACTGCCATAAGGGTTTAATTATCTATAAACGCCGATATTGTGAAGCGTCTCGTGATTTTTCCTTTCCCAGAGAATTAAAACCTCACCATGGAACACATGATTTGGTTAGGTTAGGATTCAACCAAATACTGTAGTGACAAAAATGTAAATTTGTCAAAAAATAAACTGCAATTTTACATTAAAGTTTCCAAAAGTCTCTAGCTAATTTTTTTACTACAACCTGTAATTTAACCATAAATAAAAAGTACCACATTCTTATAACCAATTTCTTTTACTCCAATTAAATAAAAAAAGAACCAAATACTTCCTCAAACAAATTTTTACTTCAATTAAATAAAAAAATCTTTCCCAAAATCCCACCTTCGTTAATATATAGGACTAACCCGCCATAGTGCCGATGCTGCTGTATCATCTCACGTCCAGAAAATGTCTCAAATATCACCGTATAGTTTTTTCTGTTTAATAAACCGGGGAAGTTAGGTTAGGTAGGTTTGTTTGGTTAGGTCTGTCCTTCATAACCACAAATGTTAAGTAGCGTTTATTTAAAAAACATCCATTTACTAACATTACCACAAACAGTGTCCACTATAATATAACAATGAAAATCTGACGTTTTTATAATAGTTATCAATCCATTTTGCTCTTGGGTTAGTCATATATAATTACCCCCACCTCAATTGGACGACACAAAGATCTTAACTACCATCAACTTCAACGATCCATGAGGCTGTAATGAGGTGGTTGTCTCCTCCATCTTCAACAGTGACAAGCAATAAATTGTATAAAAATTTGTATAATGACTGTTATTGCCAATGGCTTCAGCTACAGTGCTGGCATGTGATGCCATTAAATCTTTCGACCCGTGACCTCGCCAGATGTAGAAGTGTTTACAGACAAGTCCTGGCTCTGGTGAGTGGACTGTCTTCGGCGGGTGGTGGTGCTGCCCGCCCTGCCATGAGACAGATCGCCTTCTCTCGTGAGGCTGTGAAGACCAGCCTTCTGCTGGCACTGATGAACACCGACTCATAATCCTGTCCGAGAATTTGTGCTGGGACAATTTACTCAGTACTGTTGTCTCTTGGAACACCATACTGATCTGCACTGACCCGCACTTGTAAGTACAGCCAAGTGGTGACATACCCCTCGGTACTGAAATATTGTTGACTAATTACACCTACTCGTTTGTGCCTTATCTGGAGTAATAAGACAATGCAGAATGAAGCATAACTAAGATTACTAGAATTATGAACTTTGTGTTATGTCACTATGTTTAATAAATAGTAATTAAGATAAAATTGTGTGAGACTAACTCATTATGTATCAGATGGATCACCATGTAATATTATGAACATCTCCTCTGTAGGTTTTGACCACATCAATAAATATTGAATGAGTCAAAAGGCGAGTTTCAATCATTCCCTTCGACTTGCCCGTCACCTGAACGACCTTAACCAAGGCGTTTACAGTTATGTAATATACACATATCAAATAGTGTATTGTGCATAATGAATATATTTCTGAATATCTTTAAGAGTTGTGAGGGATAAGAGCTTCACCCATTCTACTCTCACTGCACAGTAAGTCAGTGAAGAGTTGTTGATTGAAGGAAATTGTAAATATTTAAGTTTTAATGAAGAATGGTTAGGCTAAGTTAGGTTATGTTAGGTTAGGTGAAGACATTCATAAGCAGGAACACAGGCTATATATATATTTTTTTATGGGTAATAGTCCACCCGGGCACAGGTCATGACCCACAACAAGGTCTAGGGGAGGGAAGAGTAAAAATAAATTAAAAAAATATAAACTAAAAAGGTTATATTAATGTACACCGCCAGAGAAGCATCTTGTTTAAAGTGAGACAGATTGTATGGAAACACAGAAGAAGGCAGAGCATTCAACAGTGTGAGGAAAGAAGGATGTACTATAACAGGTTATTATAGTGTGACCCACATCCACACTGTGGGCAAGACACCAGCCCACAGTACACAGGATGCTACTTGTTAACAGAGGCTTTACTGTATAATTGAATCAATGTTGAGAGAAAGAAACCTAACCTAACCAAACCTAGCCGGGTTACTACACCCAGTATTGATTCATCTTGTTTTGGTAATGAATATTGACGCCGGTCCTGGATTATGTCAACAATTGTATATAATTGTTCTTCCTCTATGAATTTCTTTGTTATCATCTAACAACACAGCCAGGTTGTAACACAGTACCATAAATCATTATAATTTGACCATAATTACGTACAGACAGAGAGACAACTAGAAGGAAAAACAAAATGTACTATAAGTAATATTTCACATAGTGTGTTGTGTTACACCAGGTGGAGGGGTGAGAGGCAGCCGTTCACTACCTCCAACTATTGCTGTCTCAAGTTTGTAAGTCATATTAACTATACTGTACAATATTATATTTTCATCAATGAGTTCTGATATAATAATAATTTTTAGGGTAATTGCTTCGTTTAGTAGATAATTAGGTGACTAGGCGAGAACTACTTTGTCTGGCGCACATCACTTGTCTTTCTCGGTGGTGATGCGGCGGTACACAGCCAGTCATCTCCACTCAACGCCAGTCACCAGTGTAGGTTTATGAGCCACACAGATCAGGCGGCTGCTCTCAGGTCCACAAAAAACGTCAAATTACACCATATAATAGGAAGTTCTTTCTGTTTAATATGCCGGGGGTTCTGAAAGGTTAGGTTAGGTTAGGTTAGGTTAGATCAAGTTTGTTTGGTTAGGATGGCAAGGTCTTCTAACAATGCTTCTGCCACTTTCTTTTGTCATCAAATATAATTAGGTTAGGTTAGGTTAGGTTAGGTTAGGTTAGGTTTGGTTTGGTTTGGTTAGGTTGGCAAGGTCTTCTAACAATGCTTCTGCCACTTGCTTTTGTTATCAAATATGGTTAGGTTAGGTTAGGCTACGTCACGTTTAATTTAGAAATAACCAAGTTTTAACACATTTTACATAACTGGGACAGTGTTCACTACAAAACAGTGAAATTAAAACGTTTTTAAATTTGTTTAATATTGAGCAGGTGTTAAGTGTTGCAGTAGTGGGTGTTGCTTCTGGTAACATGTGTTGGTGGTGACTCAGTGACTCTCAGCTGGTGTTAAGTGTTGCAGTAGTGGGTGTTGCTTCTGGTAACATGTGTTGGTGGTGACTCAGCTGGTGTTAGTGGGTGTTGTTGCTTCTGGTAACATGTGTTGGTGGTGACTCAGCTGGTGTTAGTGGGTGTTGCTTCTGGTAACACGTGTTGGTGGTGACTCAGTGACTCTCAGCTGGTGTTAAGTGTTGCAGTAGTGGGTGTTGCTTCTGGTAACATGTGTTGGTGGAGACTCAGTGACTCTCAGCTGGTGTTAAGTGTTGCAGTAGTGGGTGTTCCTTCTGGTAACATGTGTTGGTGGTGACTCAGTGACTCTCAGCTGGTGTTAAGTGTTGCAGTAGTGGGTGTTGCTTCTGGTAACATGTGTTGGTGGTGACTCAGTGACTCTCAGCTGGTGTTAAGTGTTGCAGTAGTGGGTGTTGCTTCTGGTAACATGTGTTGGTGGTGACTCAGTGACTCTCAGCGGGTGTTAAGTGTTGCAGTAGTGGGTGTTGCTTCTGGTAACATGTGTTAGTGGTGACTCAGCTGGTGTTAAGTGTTGCAGTAGTGGTGTTGCTTCTGGTAACATGTGTTGGTGGTGACTCAGCTGGTGTTAAGTGTTGCAGTAGTGGTGTTGCTTCTGGTAACATGTGTTGGTGGTGACTCAGCTGGTGTTAAGTGTTGCAATGAGTGGGTGTTGCTTCTGGTAACATGTGTTGAGTGGTGACCTCAGCTGGGTGTTAGATGTTGCAGTAGTGTTGCTTCTGTTAACATGTTGGTGGTGACTCAGCTGGGTGTTAGTAGGGTGTTGCTTGTGGTAACATATGTTGGTGGTGACTCAAGCTGGTGTTAGTGGGTGTTGCTTCTGGTAACACGTGTTGGTGGTGACTCAGTGACTCTCAGCTGGTGTTAAGTGTTGCAGTAGTGGGTGTTGCTTCTGGTAACATGTGTTGGTGGTGACTCAGCTGGGTGTTAGTGGGTGTTGCTTCTGGTAACATGTGTTGGTGTTGTTGACTCAGCTGGTGTTAGTGGGTGTGCTTCTGGTAGCACGTGTTGGTGGTGTTTCAGTGACTCTCAGCTGGTGTGCAGTGTGTTGCAGTGATGGGTTGTTGCTTCTGGTAACATGTGTGGTGGTGACTCAGTGACTCTCAGCTGGTGTTAAGTGTTGCAGTAGTGGGTTGTTGCTTCTGTTAACATGTGTTGGTGGTGACTCAGTGACTCCCCAGCTGGTGTTAGTGGTGTTGCAGTAGTGGGTGTTGCTTCTGGTAACATGTGTTGGTGGTGACTCAGCTGGTGTTGCTTCTGGTAACACGTGTTGGGGGTGACTCAGTGACTCTCAGCTGGTGTTAAGTGTTGCAGTAGTGGGTGTTGCTTCTGGTAACATGTGTTGGTGGTGACTCAGCTGGTGTTAAGTGTTGCTTCTGGTAACATGTGTTGGTGGTGACTCAGCTGGTGTTGCTTCTGGTAACACGTGTTGGTGGTGACTCAGCTGGTGTTAAGTGTTGCAACATGTACTCAGCTGGTGTTGCTTCTGGTAACATGTGTTGGTGGTGACTCAGCTGGTGTTGCTTCTGGTAACACGTGTTGGTGGTGACTCTCCATCAAGTAAGGCCGCTGGCTGACTGAGTCTGTTTTAACAACAACAGTAGTGACACTGTCCCTACACTCTCCATGTGCACCAACAACTGGTGGTAGTGACACACATTACCCACCAACAGACAGTACTGTACTAGACAGGTAACACGTCTTACTAAAGTACCACGGTTCACCTTGGCTATATATAAGTTAATAAACAACTCACAGTGACGTAGTGAAGTATTAAATCCTCCAAGTTTGTATTTTAATTAACACATTTTGGTCGACTTAATGTTTACAACCGAGGCGATGAACACTGTTAATAACTTACCACGAACAACTCAACTTTACCTAATATAAACTAACATCACGTAGTTTAAACAATTATTATTTACTTAATATTATCTGAGAAACAAACTTTACTCTACTACTGATACACTTTTAAAGAATTATATTACATCTACTTATTATTGTATTATAAACTGAACACTAAGTAATATTAAGCCATCGTCAGGTAGTTATCGTGACACTAAGTGATAATAAACTATCACCAGGTAGTTATAGTAACACTAATTAATAATAAACTATCACCAGGAAGTTATGTTAAGTAAATATTAGTTAGTTGAGGTTAAGTAATAAATAAACTAGTTCGTGGTAATATTATAACACTGATCAGCTCCCATCCTCCCCTCCCCCCAAGTACCAAGGAAAGTACTTTATATACTTTCTTTGGCCGATAATTTTACATATATATTCATTAGTCTCTGTTACGGTACACCTCGGCTATGAAAATTAGTGCTATGAGTTTACATTAATTTGCGAAGGTTAACTTTTATAATTCAATCAGTGTTTGAGCTGTACTGCCAAGAGGATAAAAGTAAATATTCTTTTACTATTTCATAACTTGATCTGTGTATTATTTTATTGTTTTATGCTCTTATATTGGGTGAAGAAAGTGTTTGTATTACACAGTTATTTATTTTTTTTACTTTCGTCTACATAAAACATATTGTAGTGGCTCCTCTCCCCTACAACTTCCAACTGAGCTCCGGCCGCGCGCCGACCAGCCAATCAGAATCGAATCGAAAAATGTTAGTGACAGGGGGGAAGGAGGTTCAGGGGAAGAATAAAGGGAGGATTGAAGTGAATTTTAGGAGGAGAGAATAGATGCAGTGGCTAAACACCGCTTGCGTGAGGGAGTATAAGATGGAGGCAGCAGCAACTCGCCCGGACGCGGCAGGGAGGCGACAAGACAGAGCCAGGCTAGCGTCAGGTGCGTGTTGGGTTGGGCAATGGATATTCAGTGCTTGGTCGGCTTGATTGTGTGTGTTGGTTTCTTGTGTGGAGGAGATGTCTTGGTCTTCTTAGCTTGATGTCGATTTTCTTCTCACTCTCCTCCTCTTCTTGCTCTCTTGAAGTGTCCATTCATTTGTGTTTGGGTCTTGTTGTTCGTCTTCCTCGTGTTTTAAGTCCTCATAGGTGTGGAAGAAGTCAGAGACGGTGAGGTTGACCACGTGGGCTTCAGCTCCACGGGCCACGTGGTGTTCTTGGTTCTGTGTGGTGGGCGTCTTCTCTTGAGTTTTCTTTTCTTGGTTTTTCTTTTCTGATGGTTTTTTCTTGTCTTGGGAGCGTACAGCAAGGAGGGCCTCTTTGTAGCTCAGTTTCTTGTCGAGACGATCCTTGGCTATCCTGCATTCCTCCTTCCATTTAGGGCAGGTCCGATCGGCGGAGGAGTGTGGGCCACCACAAGCAGCACATTTTTTTACTGTGTTGGGGCAGACCGTGTAGCGGTGTCCGGGGCTGCTACACATGGAGCAGGTGTCCTCCTGCGCCTCACACTTGTTTACAGTGTGTCCGTAGTGCTGGCATTTGTAACACCGTTTCGGTCTGCAGTACGGCTTGACTGGCACAGTTACCCACGCCAGTTGAGCCTCCTTGGGTAAGGTGGAGTGGTGTCCGATGAGGGCAGTGGTGTCGGACAGCTTCTTCACAACTTGGAGTTGCCCCTTGAGGAGCTCACTCAGCTCTGCTTGGTCCACGTGGGCAATTTCGGCGTGGGAGATTACTCCCAGCTTCAGGTTGTCCCACTTGTAGGCAATCATTTTAAATGGAATGCCGTTGATGTCTGGGATCTCCGCGAGTTGTACGGGCATGCCCTTCTCGGCGAAGGTGATCTTGATGTCACCATGGAGCTTCAATCGTTCCACCTTGGTGACCCCCACGATCCCATTAGTTTCAAAGAACTTCTGGAGAACTTGGAGGTTTAATTTCTTGGGGCAGGTCGGCGTATCCGCGCCACGTTATCAAACTCGTAACCGTTCATGGTGAGAGAGGGTTAGAGAGTGACTCTAGGCCCCCACTTTGTTCGGCGTATTTATACAATTTAGAAACATCAGGATTTGGGGTGCGCGTAGCGTGAGAGCCAATCACAGAGGAGGAGGCCTGGAATCCCCGGCACTCTGGTTCTAGCGTTGCTGTGCTATGAGGGCCACTACTGCCACCATTTATGAGGGCCTGAGTGTGCCAGTAACAATTCCTTTTACTCTCATACTTATTACCATTGGTAGCGTGACGAGAGGAGGCTCGTGGGTAGATGTAATGATAGTATCAAGCAATAGGGAAGAAATAACGGTAAATACTTTAGGTAAATAATAGACACAATATACAAATAAAAAAATTATTTAAACATGAATATGAAATTAGGAGAAAGAATGTATTTGTACCAACAGACGAAATCTATTACTAGGCCCTCAGGCTCAACATACTCACACCACTACTGGGTGGACATACTCATTAACACACAACTCTTATAGTCACTTAGCACCATAAAGACCAGGACAACTGCCACTACAACCTTCAGTCGTCAGGAGTGATACTCAAGCAACAGCCATGGGGTCCAGCCACCATGGAGTACTTTCCGATGAACTCTGGAGATCCCAGTGGATTAATCCCACCACACAAATAGCCCTACTGAGTTAGACACTCATCCACCAATGATGGGGGCTGGTAGTGGTGTGTGGCTTGGTGATCCGGGGTCACCTCGCAGGCCGAGCGTTAGGGCCAGACGAGCCAGCTATGAGGGCCATAGGTAGTCTGAAGTGTCTGACGGCCGGGTCTCACGAAGGTAACGGATCCTACTGGACCTCGGACATCTCCCCAGACATAGTGGATACAACATCCACGCTACAGACACGGCCTAGGCTGCATTAGGGACCTGTATGGGTGAAGGGACGGGCACTCACTAACGGTGACAACAACATCACGTTTCAGGGGACGTTAAAGACGTAAATATGACTTCACTCAGAGCATATCAACTACGTTACTATAACACTTGCACAATCAACTATCAATTGGGTCAAATCACTTAAAGAAGGGCGAATTACAACACAGAGTGGAATGGCATACCTGTATGGGTGAAGGGCGAGCACTCACTAACGGTAGAAATGCCCGCAGCGCCCTCATTCAAAATAGGCCAGGGAGTCCACCTACTTCTATTCCGATGAATTAATTCACTGTACACTCTGACGTTGAAACTGAGACTATGAACTCAGTTTCATTCCCTACTATTATCTTCACTAACAATGCTCTGACTCAGCTATCAAAAGCAAAATTAAATTGATTACAAAGGGTTGGATGGCAACAGGTCCCAACATACAGCGTCTGCTACGAACAAAGACGGGGAAACAGAGAAAACGGGGGACGTTTCCACTGGGGGACTCAGAAGGTTTTGTGGACGTTTGAGCGTAATATGAATCCTTAAGGTTTTCAAGTTAGCCGTTATCACGATCATGACAGTGCGTCCGCAGTGGAGAGTAGGTCTACCAGCATCGCTGGTTGTACGCTGATTGGCTGGTAGGCGCACGGGAGCTCAGTCGTCACTTGTAGGGGATGGGATCCACTACAATACTCCCCTTCCCCTCCGGGCGCGGCGGGAGGCTGGAGGTTGGCAGGGTTGCGTCCCACAAGTGATACATACCGGGCAGGTGTATGTATGACTCTGTCTGGAGACACGAGATCTGTGGGAGAAGCAGAGGTAGGAGGGTTTTGGGTTAGATGAGGTTGTACACTGTACAGGCAATGGTTGTTGTGCTCCTGTCGCGGCAGGGGCAGCGTCACTGGGTGGGTAGACCGGGTCAGGGGCAGGGGCCATGATAGCAACAGGGTCTACGACAACAGCAGGGTGCAGGACAGGATCAGGGGGTACCTGAGGGTGGAAAGAGAGTGCCCAGAAATGTCGTGGGCGAGGTGGTGCTGCAAGGGGTAATGGTGGGCAGACTGGCGGAGGAGGTGCGGAATTAACGTGTTCAGGGCGGTGGGAAGGCTGGCGTGGGGCAGCAGGAGTGAAGTGGTCAAGGTCAGAAGTGGGGCCTTGTGATGTGCTGTATGATCGTGGCGGAGGTTATGGCGCCGACCTGTCTCCGTCGATGTCGCTTCGCCGTGTAGGTGCAGTGGGGCTCACAGTGTTGAGCGTTGGAGCCGAAACGTCTGTGATACTAGCATAGGGTAGACCCGTTGTGCTGGGGGCTGGCGGCGGTTTCCGGGGCAGGAAAGGCGCGTCGGGGATTGTAGGGCGCTGTGCGTGAGTCAGGAACAGGCCCAGCAGCAGGCATGGAGAAGCAGAACTGTTCAATGGTGTCCATCCTGCGGTTCAAAGTCTGCAACAGGTCCCTGATGTCTTGTGAGGTATTGGTCATCTGTGGAGCGCTGGTCAGGTTGACAAAACCGGAAGAAAGTGAGAGCGTAGCCGCGGAGTTGTGGGCGGACGCATGGTGCACAGCAGTGTATTCGTGGAATATTCTGTCTGCCGAGGGTGCGTAGAGTTCTGGTGTTGTAGAGTAATCTACTGTGGACAGGGTGATGCGTACCTGTGTGGGGAGCTTTTGTGCGTGAAGCTGGCGCAGGTAGAGTCGGGGAGTCTGTCTGTGTGACGGGAGTTCAGCCTACACATCTCCTCCCAGAGACGTCCCGGGGTAGAGTTTCCGAGGGAGATAGAGGATGGGTCTTGCAGGAGATTGGGGCGGGTCTGTTGATAAGGCGTTGTTACGAACCCCTCCACCCAGCACTACGAACCACGCCATCTATTGTCCTGATCTACCTACCCAGCACCACGAGCAACGCCATCTAGGGACGAGACACGAGTATGACTCGTCTTAGTTACCACTCCGGGTTTCCCTTCTCCATATCCTGGTTGTTGCGTCACTTCCTCCAAGTCTTCTTTGTGAGCTCCAATTCGAGGAGAGAGCACTTGGCTCTGGGAAGTGACCACAGGATCATCTATCCTCTAAACCTACGGCACAGTGACTACCTAC